GGCGGGTCTCAAACCCGTGGGCTCAGGCAATCCACTCACCTCAGCCTCCCAAGGCGCGGGATTACAGGTTGAGCCACCAAGCCCAGCTTGGTGTAGATCTTTAAGTTTTTGCATTTACTTTTCCTTTGAAAAGAGAAGACCTAGTAGAGAGATGGGAACTCTGGATAGGAAGAAATAAAAAATAGAAACACTTACTACTAAAAAAAGCCTCATTTAATCTGAAGCATAGATATATTTTGGCAAATGGAGATATAAAATTGGACCTCATTAAATGTTCTTAGTGAAATCTAAAGAGTGCTCTATGAGGAATGAGTGTGTGAACTGACGTAAAAAGTGGTTTTGTATACACAGGCTGACAAAACACTAACTAGATTTGTCATTCCATTCACAAGAACAAGGAGGGAAAAGATCTCAAATCACACTTGATTTCAACACACCAAGCCAAACAACTAATAAACCGCCCACAAAGAATGAAACTGTTTTGAACTCGTCATTCTGCAGATACAAATTATAATACCAAGATATGCATAAAATTGTGTAAGGTAGACAGCGACTGACTTTTTATTGAAAGGAGGAGGAGTCAAAGATCCTGAAGGGCTGGGGCTGCCTGCAGTCAGTCTCTAGAGAACTTCCTGTTGTCACCACACCTCTGGGTGAGTTGTCTGAGCTCGCTGTGAGCAAAACCCACAGTGGAAACTCTTTAGGCTCTGGGAAGTCAATCATTCTTCTTGTGAATGTGACACACATCCTGTCCAGTTCCATATGCGGAGATTATATTTATTCATCACTTTGATATGCTTGGTGCGATCAGGTAGGTCATGTACTGAATGTTTTTCTTCACTACTTTAAAACAGGTAATTAGCAGTATTGTCATTTTGTATTTTATCATCCCATTTCCTTCAGTGAACTTTTAAAGTTTCATATGGTTGTTTTTAAGGAAAGAAGATACGAGTTCAATTAACTTTCTAATCCTGATTTTTTTTTCTCAATAGTAAAACAAGTTATTTATTTGAATTAATTTCTTTTTAGGTACAAAAATCAAATATGCTGAAAAAAATCTAGAATAGTTTTACTTTCTTCCACAACTAAGTTTTCTGTGCCTTTTAACCTCTGTGAAATGAGATCACTTATTTTCTGGAAATTTAAAAACATATTTATGGTATGTAATGTACAGAGGGTGGGTTTTTATGCTTTATTTTTAATTTTTTGAGTTGGGAGTCTCACTCTGTTGCCCAGGCTGGAGTTCAGTGGCATGCTCACGGCCACCGCAGCCTTGACCTGCTGGGTTCAAAGTGACCTTTCTGCCTCAGCCTCTCAAGTAACTGGAACTACAGGCACATACCACCGCACCCAGCTAATTTTTTTATTTATTGTAGAAACGTGTGTAGGAACATTTCTGTTGTATGTGGTTGCTAGTTACTATTGGGAACATAGATTTATCTCTGTATATGAGGGTTTTTTTTCTTTTTAAAAGTTATTTATTTAGAATAAATTCCAAGGAATAGTTTTACTAGTTCAAAGGACATGAACATTTTTTTTTTTTGAGTTGGAGTCTCACTCTGTCACCCAGACTGGAGTGCAATGACATGCTCCCGGCCACCGCAGCCTCAACCTGCTGGGCTCTGGTGATCCTTTCACCTCAGCCTTCCAGGTAGCTGGAATTATAGGTGCATGCTACCACGCCTGACTAATTTTTTATTTATTGTAGAGATGAGGGCTTGCCAAGTTGCCTAGGCGGGTCTCAAACCCGCGGGCTCAGGCAATCCACTCACCTCAGCCTCCCAAAGTGCTGGGATTACAGGCTGAGTCACTGAGCCCAGCTGACATGAACATTTTTATGGATCCTAATATATAACATATTTTCCACTTGCCCTGCAAAACAAATTATACTAATCTTCATTACCACAAGCTAAACACCAGTTTCCCATGTATATCTCTGCATAGAAAGTTAGAAACATGGCAACTTAATTTTTTTGTGGCCTGCCTTTTTTTTTTTTTGAGTCAGGGTCTCATTCTGTCCCCCAGACTGGAGTGCAGTGGCACAATCACAGATCACCAAAGTCTTGAAAACTTCTAGGCTCAAGTGATCCTACCTCTTCAGCCTTCCAAGTAGCTGGAACTACAGGTGTACACCACCATGCCCAGCTAATTTTTAAATTTTTTTGTAGAGATAAGGTTTTGCTATGTTGCCCAGGCTGGTCTTGAATTCATGGGCTCAAATAATCTTTCATCTGTCTTCCAAAGTGCTGAGATTATAGGCACGAGCCACTGCACCCAGCCTTAACTTGCCTTTTTACTTAACATCTTCTCATAAGTAAAGTCTTTTTGTTTTTCTCTGAGTTTTCTTCCTAGGAAAAGTGAGAATTTGTTTTAAATGATTCTAGGAGATTGCATGATAGAATCTAAGCAGAGACACACAAGGATAAACCTCTATAGCTAGAAGGGAAAAACATAATTATAGCTGTAAGCTAAATCTAGACTTCTCAGTATCTATAAAACCATGAACTTGGAATTTTCTTGGGTGAGAGTATTGAATAATATGCCTTTGACAGCAGAAACTATTAATCATATGTACATTGATATTTTGTTTTTCCCTTTTTTTGCCTTCCCCTCCAAAAATTAGCAAATATTAAGATGGGATTCAGAAATTCCAAGTATACAAGTCATTCACTTTTAGAGAGCTTTGCTTTTTTTGTTTTAATCTTTGTGAAATCATGTTAGGAATGTTTGCCATAATCTTAGCAGTGAGCAAAGTGATGGCTAGCAAACTCTAAAGTATACTCGAAGCCCCTGGAGGTTTGCTTAGAATGCCGAGACTCCACCTCCAGTAATCCAGACTTAGTGGTTCTGGGCTAAGATCCTAGAATCTTAATTAATTTTTTTTTTTTTTTGAGAGACAGGTTCTCACTATGTTGTCCAGGTTGGAGTGCAGTGACTATTTGCAGACATGATCAGAGTGCACTATAACCTCCAACTCCTGGACTCAAGGGATCCTACCACCTCAGCCTCCCTAGTACCTGGGACTACAGATGTGTGCCACTGTGTCTGCCAGGAATCTGCATTTTTAACAATCTCTCAAGGTTTTTCAACTGCAGGTGGTCCAAAGAACACAGTTTTATAAATATTGTTCTATATGAAGGCCTCTTGTTAGAAGTTTATTTTTATTTTTGAGTTGGAGTATCACTCTATCTTCCAAACTGGAGTGCAGTGCTGTAACCTCAACCTCAACCTCAACCTCCTGGGCTCAGGTGATCCTTCCACCACAGGCTCCAAAGTGGCTGGAACTACAGGTGCACACCACCACGCCCAGCTAATTTATTTTATTTTATTTTTTTGTAGATACAAGGCCTCACTATGTTGCCTAGGCTGGTTTCAAACTCCTGGGCTCAAGCAGTCCTCCTGCCTTGGCCTCCCAAATTGCTGGGATTACAGGCACCTCACAGTACGTGGCCTCATATGTACTTCTAAAAGTTACTCTGCAATCTATCTTTTGGCCTATGGCAACTGTGTAAAACTAGGTAGATATTTTCCAGAGAAAATAGCCAAAACCAGAGAGAATTATTTCCTCAGATTAGAAATGTTCTTGAAGGATTGAGAACTGTGTATTTGTATCTGACTCATCTTTCTCAACCAAGTTGGCAAAGGTGAGTGAGGGGGTGTGAATGTGCATATTTATACACATGATTAAGAAATGAGAAAAGCTGGCATCTTATTTGTTTTCTCGATTGCATCCTAAAGAAATACAGCTGCTGGTTAAAAGCAAATGTGTCCTTCTTGCCTGTCTCTGCCTGGAGTAAAAGAGCAAGAAATGTGTCACCAGGTTTGACCCTGGCCAACTGTGATCCCTTCACAGTCTGGTTCTTAACAAATTTTTAATGTCAAATTCAGTGTGGTCTTCTACATACAAAATATAACCTCAGTTATTTTTCAGATTTCAAAATCTTAATATTAATAGAATTTCATGACAGGGACATGTCTCCTCCCCCTTCTACTTGTCTTTGAAAAAACAGGCATCCATGGCTATTGGTGGCTGACACCTGTAATCCTAGCACAGGTGTGGTTCACACCTGTAATCCTAGCACTAGGTCAAGGCAGGAGGAGTTCAAGATCAGCCTGGTCAACTTTGTCTTTAAAAAAAAAAAAACAGCATCCAGCTCATTTTCTAATAGCTCCAAGGCAAGGTTTCTGGCCTAAAATCTAAAATATCTTCAGATTTTTACTTCTTGGACTTCTTTTTGGAAATTTATTCAGAACAGTACTTTTACATAGGTGCATAAGAGTGCTCAAGCATGGGTTACTGGAAATATTCTGGCTTCATTAATGCATGGTGAACTTTTATCTCAGATACTAACAAACATGCAGAGTCCTGGAAAACATTTTTCTTTTTTTGAGTCAGAGTTTCACTCTGTCTCCCAGGTTGGAGTGCAGTGGCGTGCTCACGGCCACACCAACTTCAACCTGTTGGGCTCAGGCGATCCTTCTGTCTCAGCCTTTCAAGTAGTTGGAATTACAGGCATGAGCCACCACACCCAGATAATTTTTTGATTTACTGTAAAGATGAGGTCTCACCAAGTTGCCCAGACTGGTCATGAATCCCTGGGCTCAGGCAATCCTCTTGCCTCGGCCTCCCAAAATGCCGGGATTACAGGCTTGAACCACATCGCCAGGTATAATATATATAACATATCTCTTATATATATATATTTTGAGTTGGAGTCTCACTCAGTCGCCCAGACTGGAGTGCAGTGGCCGCTCCTGGCCATCTCAGCCTCAACCTGTTGGGGCTTCGGCGGTCCTTCCGCCTCAGCCTTCCAAGTAGCTGGAACTATAAGCATACAATACCACGCCCAGCTGATTTTTTGATTTATTGTAGAGATGAGGGCTCGCCAAGTTGCCCAGGTGGGTCTTGAACCCGCGGGCTCAGGCAATCCACTCACCTCAGCCTCCCAAAGTACTGGGATTACAGGCTGAGTCACCGAGCCTGGTTTATTTTTTTTTATTTTTTTATTTTTTATTTTTTGAGTTGGAGTCTCACTCTGTCGCTCAGACTGGAGTGCAGTGGGCGCTCCCGGCCACCGCAGCCTCGACCTGCTGGGCTCCGGCGATCCTTCCGCCTCAGCCTTCCAAGTAGCCGGAATTACAGGCGTGCGCTACCATGCCCGGCTGATTTTTTGATTTATTGTAGAGATGAGGTCTCGTTGCCCAGACGGGTCTCGAACCCGCGGGCTCAGGCAATCCACTCACCTCAGCCTCCCAAAGGCGCGGGATTACAGGCTGAGCCACCGAGGTCGGCTATATTTTTATTTATTGTCGAGACGAGTTCTCGCCAAGTTGCCGGGGCTGGTCTCGAACCCGTGGGCTCAGGCAATCCTCTCACCTCGGCCTCCCAAGGTGTGAGGATTACAGACTGAGACACCGAGCTCAGCCCAAAAAAATTTTTTTAGAGACAGGGTCTCCATCTGTCACACAGGCTGGAGCGTAGTGATGAGATTATGGCTCTCTGTGATCTCGAACTTGTGGGCTTAAGAGACCCTCCTGCCTCAGTCTTCTGAGTAGCTGGGACTATCAGCACATGACAACATGCCCAACCAGTTTGTTAATTTTTTTGGAGAGACAGAGTCTCATTATGTTGCCCAGGCGGGTCTCAAACAAACTCTTAGCCTCAAGCACTCTTCTTGCCTCAGCCTCCCAACCCCTAGACTCATAGGCCTGATACCTTCATTATTAACCATAAACCGACTTGGAGCCGGACTCGGTGGCTCAGCCTGTAATCCTGTGCCTTTGGGAGGCTCAGGTGAGTGGATTGCCTGA